AATCCCCAAACCTGGCTTATTCGGATCATAACCAAAACAATGAGGTCTAGCTGAGCCATAGTTTCCGCAACTATTTAGGAAAATTATTTAAATAAAATGCTTCAATTTGATTCAAAAGTATGTCTAACTTCACGTTATTTTTCAAAATATGTAACTATGCTAACTCCGTGGGGCCTATGTGATCTATTTCACATATTAGTTTGTCTATGGCATATCCAGACATTAATCAAAAGGGGCGGAATGAAAAGCTCTTGTGAGTTGTATTGATTGTTTTTCATGCATGGGCCTTCACAATATTAAGATGTACCCTGGCCCCAATCCGTGCTGTGAAGACACGACTAGATTATCAATGATTATCATTACTCCAAAGTGATGTTTAAAGTCAAGACAATATGTGCTGAATGATGATTATCAAGTCGTCGAACGTGACATTTAACGTACCATTAATCAGTTAGATGAATCGAGACAACACATCTATTCGTCATCATAATCAATGATCCCATTTACACAGAAGGCTGTTTGTTGATAAAGACCTTTTAAGGTCATCTATAATTTATCTTATAGGCTGATATATTAGATTGATAAGGCCATAACGACTTTCATTACCCACCCCATAAAAAGTTGGAAGATCAGTATCGACTTATTATACTATTATGTAGAAATAGAATAGTACAAAAATATAAATATATTATTTTGTTGATAGTTGTATGGACACAAAATTCTTGTGTCATGGGTTCCACTTTTCAGAGTGTTTTTATTCAACCATATAATATGATTACCTTGTCATGCAATGCCATGTAAAGTAATATAAAATTGAGATGATTATCTTATCAATATATTATACTTCCTCAAAATCTAAACAATTACTCGATACTTTTCATTTGTTTGTGTATTTTGTGCGATAATCACTTTCAATGATGGTACGTTCTGTGTTATGAGTAGTATCTGTATGGGTACTTTGTGGCACTATTCGGGTCCTAAGGAATATAGAGCCTTTAGATATACTGACCATTATTTAAGAGTCCTTAAAATACTAATGAAGAAAATAAAAAAATTAAAAAGAATCATAGACCTCCCGATTTCCGACGTCTCTATCTGCCCTATTTTTATTCTATCATTCGATGTTGTTGTTGTGGGTTTATTATGGCGTTTTCCATCGTCGATGTTTTTCGCCAAAACTCTCGTTTTCATGTGTCTAAATGTCTCTCTCTCTCTCTCTCTCTCCCTCTCCCCCTCTCTCTCTCTCTCCCTCTCTTTCTCTCTCTCTCTCTCTCTCCCCCTCTCTCTTTCTCTCTCTCTACCCCCTCTCTCTCTCCCTCTCTCTCTCTCTCTCCCTCTCTTTCTCTCTCTCTCTCCCTCTCTCTTTCTCTCTCTCTCTCTTAAAGAAATCCAAAAATCCTAAGGGTATTGCACAGCATGCCTTAAAGGTACTATGTCCCATTTGCAGGCCAAAAAAATGAAAAGGTGAAATTTCAACGGCATTTGAAAGACAATGCTAATTTAGAACATCCCTCAAAATGAAGGTGCTTGTAAATGTCTTGACCGTTTGTTGTCGAATCGACTACAAGGATAACAATACTTTAAGTAAATAGTCTGATTTCAGACCCGTGTACCGAATGGTCGTACGTTTTGTGCTGCGCAAAGATTCAATCAGTTTAATTTTGATAATTCCTGCAAAGTTCTATAGAATTTGATGTTGGCTGCAAATGGGACATAGTACCTTTAAAAGACACCGGATTGTGCAGCTTCTGAAAGGCACCGAAAGGTTATAGACCTGTAGCTAGGTACGATAAACCTGACGCTTGAAGTAGCTAATCGGATTAGACGCCATGCTTATTGAAGGAAAGAAAAACAATTCCCTTGCACCTTCACCTTCAAATTGTCTACACATAAGATGACCTTTAATCGCGTTTGTTCTCATCCAGTTTGAATTGGATCACAAGAGTCTCATGGGGGTACAGGATTGCCCCCATCTCCCTTCCTCCTGTCTTTCACCGTTGACAACATATAAGATACAGGATTCATACTCCAACAGACTAGGGAGCCGAGTTGGCGATGTGAATGATTCGTTAATATCATGATCCACTGCACTTAAGATATATAGAGAGATTAAATGTGATGTACCTCAAACCATGGACGCTCTAACTCACTCTCATACGGTTACATCACAGAGATGCTTGAATGAATAGAGCCTAGCTCAGCACTACCTCCTGACGCCTCATCTTTCTGATTCTTATTCTAAAGTAGACTCATTCTAAACTGTAGCAAACATCAACATTGCAAAAGAAAGAACAAAAAGTTTTCTTTCAGAGACTTTTAGCCAGCATTTTGAGTACATAAGAAAACTTAACGATATTCATGTATATCTCCTTGAATTTGTCGCTACATGCATGTGTGAAGAAACTGCTGTAACGAGATGTTTGAATAATGTGCTTGACATTTGCTTCCTCCTTTTCGGTTTTCCGTCATCCGTGAAACGATCACAATTATGCAAACAGCAATAACTCTAGCACCAAGCTAGCGTGCGAACGAGGAGGGGGGCAGTTGGGGGGGGGGGGGGGGGTAAATGTTAGTTTCTTTGTGAACACAAGCCGGAGAAGCATCCTGCTATTTCTCTACATTCGACTGCTCAACGTATACAAACGAGTTAATGTATAGTGGACGTGCCTGTAAATTGATTACTTGTATTTATTCAAACAAACATTCGTTTCTTGATGCTTCCACCTGGCTGTAAGGTCTAGGATAGAGAGGAGAGCCTGCCTAAAGACTGAAATCATGGAGATTGTGAGATAGAATCGATTACCGCCCAAGGCAAATCACGTGCATAATTCATGATAGCAGTGATCATGACTTTGATGGCTTGCCTGGTAACTATGACTCTGATTATGATGGATACTACCTTGCTTCCAACACATAAGATACGGTTTAAAAGTAGAAATTTAAAATGGTTCTGGAGGAATTATAGATTTAGGCGTTCATCATTGCAAAATGTAAGACCAGTAGGCCTCAGAAATTCAAAGGTATATATCGAATGTTAGATGCAAAACATACAAAATGAGATATTCAATTGACTTAAAATTTACCATAGTAAACAGCAGATTTGCCTTTAACGTTATTGATTCGCACTATTTTAAATTTTAAATATCAAACATAATATAGACAGATCACAAGACCTGGCACAACGTTTTACTATTTTAGTTAATTGCTTGCCTCAATACAAGTCCGAATGTTGATTCCCGAGGAAGCGCTTCTCGGACTCAGCAGAGCCAGAGGCCCAAATCTGACAAAAGAAAATCCACAAAGAAATGCAAGATCGACAATAAATTAAAGAAAGTCACACAATCAGTAAAACAGCCTGCTTCTAATTGGTGATTTCTGGTGGAAATCGAGGACAGAGATCTATTTGCACGGCTATACATCTGAAACTCTAGGGTAACATTTCACAGCAATTACACAAATTGGTGGCAAGCATCTTGCCTAGCAGGGAATATATACTCTTCACCAGTAAGATGATACCACTCATTCACATAGATAGATAGATGGATATATAGATAAATAGATATATAGGTAGATAGATAGATAGGTAGATAGATAGATAGATAGATAGATATATAGATGGATAGATAGATAAATAGATAAATAGAGAGAGAGAGAGAAAGAGAGAGAGATAGATAGATAGATAATATAGATAGATAGATGGTAGAAAGATAGATAGATAGATATATAGATGGATAGATAGAAAATAGAGAGAGAGAGAGAGAGAGAGAGAGAGACGTAGATAGATAGGTGGAATGATAGATAGATAGATAGAGAGATAGAGAGACATAGATATATAGGTAGATAGATAGATAGATAGATGGAAAGATAGACAGATAGATAGATAGATAGATAGCTAGACACAGACAGACAGACATATAGACAGACAGACCGACCGACAGAAAGACAGATAGATGGATAGATAGATGGATATAAACACACATTGAAAGACAAGGGAAAAGGGTAATGAAGACAGCAAATCTAACACATTAATTTTTTCCAAGTCATGCAATGATTTGAAGTCTTATCGTTATGATAATTCAAACACCAGTCGCATAACAATTAATAAGGCATGACGACATTTATGGAGACCTCGACGTATTTTAACATAGCGTATTCTTTTTCTCAGAGCTTTTTTTTAGTTTCAAATTATCTAATTGTCATGATGAACAGTTGTTATTTCTTCCAAGATAAATAAAGACAAAAACATGAATCCAGGAAAGCAATATGAATATGAGTGCTTTCTTTAGCCCCCCCCCCCTCCTCTCCACTTGAAAACCAGATCAGCATCTACTTTTACTCTGGCATGAGGAGAAGATGGATCATTGCAGGATCTTCTCGCCACCCATACATGTTATTTCTACAACGGTTGAATGTTATGTCGCTATCGGTTATTATCTCTCCCAAAGATCGTAACGAGAATGAAACCATGGCTTCAAAAGAAAAACACAGCGAGATTTTCAGCCATGTTTATGAACATAACATTGTCTTGATCGTTAGCTCATACCAGATGGGACAAATTTGTTGTTGTTTAGCTGGAGATAGAAAGAGGCTGTCTCGACGAAGAGCATATCGTATATAAAAGTAGAATGACGGAAAAGAAATTGGATTATTTGTGGCTAAGAAGGAGAGGCAGATACTAAGAGGAATTTAAATAATAAAGAAGGGAAAAATTGATCTTAAGAAATTGATAGACCAAACAATAAAATGATGATGAAAATATATTAAGTTTGTGGACCACTATCTTATGTATAATAGACAATAGAGGGCGGCTCTGCTCTTGGCTTTGGAATGATTAACCATTCGGAATAAATGAGGAAGACAAGAATACAATGTTATTATTTTTTTTGTATCAATAAGTAATCTTCAACTAAGCACAATATATGTAAATATATTGTTATTAGTATGGTATGGTATGGTATTTATTTCATTCTTCATAAAAAACATATACAATACATACATAGTATTAAAAAAAAAAGAGAGAAATATATAAATACATGTAGAAGGGTAACATTACAAATAATATGAATACAATAAAATTAACAAGGAAATTAGTTAAGAAGGAAATTTATGTCGAATGATTACTAACTTTAACACTTCATATTCAAGAGAGTTTATTTTGTATTGTCATGTACCTAATTGTGTGCGTGACACTTGGTTGACATAATCGAAATCTTCCACAAATTTTGTTTTTGAAAAAAGTTACCAAGTACTTGTTTTCACTGGTTGTATCAAATACAAAAAAAATTGTCAGAGCAAAAAAATCAACCAGCACACGGTGGGCTTGGACTTAACCTTTGATTTGACTTGATTATGTTTCTAGTATTATATTATTATAGAATACTTTATACGCTAGCTATCAAATGATTTGTTGAAGTACGATTTCAACTATTACTCTTATTCCCTTTTTCCTTACTATTATTGTCCGTTCTTTTTTATTCTTATATATTCATATTGTATCGTTACAAGGCGTATTGAATACAAGCAAAAAGCAATATTTAGCAAGTACGCCGTTGTATAAACCCAATAATCATTCAAACAACCCCGTCAAAAAAAAGGATAATAGAAAATGAAAAAGTCATACAAATCAATTCCCTCTTTTATATCTTGACTGTTTTACGAAATTCTGAATATTTTCTATTAATTCTAAAATTAATCGAAATGCAGTATTAAAATTTAGCATTTAGTAAGCTGTAGTATATACCCGTTTCTATAAAGACTGCAGACCAGTCACACGTAATACTCTTATAATGAATGAACTTACTGAGACTTAGTCATCTCTACACCCAAGAATCTTACTTTTTATCCTATGAATATTACCCCAGCATTATATATTGCCGATGGTGGCGGTAGTGAAGAAACATAAAAGTGCTAAATGGAATACACTTATGCCATGTGTATGTTGGCGCGAATGATTATGGATATTAAAGCCTCATTACTCATATAATTTAATATTTATAAAAAACAGAGAAATGAAAAATAGTGAATCATTATAATTTCTCTCTTTTAATTAATATAACCAATGGTCGTCTGCTCGTGCGAATGATGTATTATGAATGTTTCGTGAAACTTGAGATTAATTCACGACACACCTTGGTTGTTGTATTCTTTTGGTTAAGATCAGTAATTATTACGAGAGAAACGTTAACATTTGGTTCCAACATATTATGTACAGATATCAAGACAGTTAAACTGTAAATACAAAATTAAACATCTTGCAGAATATTTTGTTTACAAGAAATGCCGAAACAGATAAAAAAACGTAACACTACAAGTCGAATCGGATTAATAGCAAATACAAATGCAGCTTTAACGGATTCGTAATAACATTTAATTAGGAGTAACATGTAAGTAGTCCTTTATAAAGCAGTAGACTTATTACTAGTGAGGTCATTCGTGTGGGAAGTAAACCCGTAAATTAGTGTAATATTTAGAACGGAAAGTATTATAAAAGATATAAATGTACATGTATATAACATTTCTCCTTAGCTAAAACAATATAAATGTGACAATGTTTCAATGTGATTATTCCTAACTATTTGTAGTGCAAAGATTAAGAAAGTCGACTGGAAAATCATTGCAAGAATTACCACCCGATCATTCCGCGTCATCTTGCACTAGTTCAAAGTTTTGATCATCCAGAACCTTGAACCCTAATGTCTTGTAATGCATGAGATTGACTCTTCTTATCTTGTACATCTCTTCATATAGATCCATAACAAATGGTTTGACCTGCTCTTCTTTGGCCATCTCAAGTAGATCTTTATGATAGTCCCTCATGATAGATCCCATGGAATGAGCATACCTATGAGGCATGTTCATGGTAGTCGTCCTCCATTGGTAATCATCTTCAATAGATTGATCCATCTCAGTTTGGCTTGGTAGTTGATAGGTACCAATCCAACTCGCCAGAACAAACTTGACCTGAGCGGTGAAGTGAGTGAACGGTAGAACCTTCTGCGTGATACCAATGAATGCTAGAGATGGGTAGGTGGTATGCAGGATATGCTTATAGAGAGGCATGACGCGTTTATCTTCTACCTTCAGCTGGCATTCTGGAGTGAGGAAACTGAAATCAAAGTTATAACCTGTGCAGTAGATGATAGCATCGGGTTCACAACGTTCTCCGTCAGCAAAGACCGCATCCTCCTGCGTGAAGGATACAACCTCCTTGGTCTGCTTGATGTTGTCTGGTAGAGGAGCTACTACACGATCCTTCCAATGACTCAGGTATATAGACTTTGCATGGGGAGCCAGATCAAGAATGATATCCAGACCAGATGATCCTGCTCCTATCATTACTATGGTCTGGTCCTTGAAGACTTCAGGATGACGATAGTTGTGACTGTGAAGCTGAAGACCTTTGAACTTGTCACGTCCTGGCAGGTCGGGGATGTTGGGTATTGCATAATGACTGTCGAATAAAAAAAGCAATACTGAGATGTTTAAATGTAAATTTTGAAGCTATTTGACTCAGCGGTATTAACAAGTTTGACCCTTAAACACAGTTTGGGCATTGGGCCTGATCAATGGATGTAAAATGATGACATTCTATATTTGACAAAGAGTCTGTATTGCTCTGAACATGCTGAAGTCTGTTTATGACACCGAATTAGTGACATTATTTTCCTATGGATGAATGACATGAGTGTATAATATGGAAGGCAATAATCGTGTTTTCAAGAACCAAACATCAACAAAGATCGTTAAGATGAAGATATTTACCCGTTGCACACCATGACTAGATCAAAGACGGACGATGTCTGTTGCTTGGTCCTGATGTCTGACACTGTTATCTCCCATGTCATCAAATCATCTGAAGTTTGGATTGGTTTCACCAACTCAACTAACGTGTAGATCTGCCATAGAAATCGAATGGCATTAATGATGTTATTGAATATTCAGAACACATGTATTTTGTTTGACGGGGGATTACAACGTTAATCGTTACTACACATTATAGTCAGACACACCCTATAGGCCTCCCATGTAAATTGCACTTGTAGTTTAGTTTTATGTTTTGTTTCATAATAACAGAATCAAAATTTAATAAAAAGAACTGGGTTTACCTGAAGCACATCTTCATCTCTCGCATTGCGGTGGAAGGGTAAACGTATATGCTTATTGTAAGTAAGTAAAATAACCAGTGTTGTGATGATAATGATAATTGCAACTTTCAATTTATTTAGTGCATTGAAATAACACTCATTAAAGGGACTATGTCCCATTTGCAGGCCAAAAAAATGAAAAAGTTAAATTCCAACTGCATTTGAAAGATAATACTAATTTAGAACTTCCTTGAAAAAGGTTGGGCTTGAAAATGTCTTCAAGTGGGAAAATAACGACTATTAGTTGTCAAATCGACTTTAGGGCTATAGAGCCCAAAAGTAATAGTCTTGATTTTCAGACAATTGTACCGAATGGTCATACGTTTATGCTGCGCAAAGATTCAATCAGTTTAATCTTGGCCATCACAAGAAGTGGATTATTGATGTAGACAAATACTCATGTACCCTTTACAACTCTTTTCATGTATGTTATTACCAAAGAAGAAAAAAGCCAGTCAGTCACTCAATAGTGTCTGACAGTGAAGTCTAGCAAGTAAACGGTTTTCCTTGCATAATTTGAATATGAGGACACTGCTAACGTTTAAATTTCACAGATAGGACAAACATGACATATTCATAATTCCTGCAAAGTTCTACAGCATTTGAGGTTGGCTGCAAAAGGGACATAGTACCTTTAACAAAGTTTACATGAACATAATATAAAAGGACACATAACATAGCTTCATGCACACTGAAACCATGGGGCTAGTAACTCCATGCTGAAACATAAAAACAAGAATTGTTACACTACTGGAAGAAAAGGTGTGTCTTTAAGGGTTATAAGACAAATACCCTCTGGGCAATCGTCCCCCGGAAAATGACCCCCCCCCCCCAGAAAATAACCCCCCCCCCCGAGAACTATTACCCTCCCACCCCCCCCCCCCCCCGTGGACAATACCCCCCGGTAATTTTCCGGGCAGTAATTATGTTCTGGGAAGGGGGGTATTTTCCGGGGGGAGGGGGGGAGGGGGTAATTTCCGGGGGGGAGGGGGGGGGGGTAATTTCCGGGGGTGATTGTCAGGGGGTAAATGTCCTGATACGGTCTTCGAGTGTTATGATAAAGTAAGAGAGAGAGACACACACACACATACGCACGCACGCACGCACACACATACACAAATGAGAATTTTTTTTTAAAGACCCTTTCGATTTTTACAAACAACTATTATGTCTAGGATTACATATTACATATGAATGGTGATGTCCTACCTGTATGAATCGGTGTAGCTGGAAATGATCCGAGTACTGTTGTAAATAATCTGAGACATCTGTATGCATGATGAACGATGGGAGTCCGTCATCGAACGGGAGATCGGGATAGGCCATGATCTCCTTCGGTAGATTCGTTCTGTAAACAATAAGAGAAAAGGTGTAATACCAATGAGTGTTGTGTAAGAACCGTGGTGTGTGTTCATGTACTAGTTATTGGTAAGGGACAACCGTTGATTTAAAACAAATATCTGTGATCTGGTAATTCACTCTTTTATGTTTTTAAACGATTGCTCCATAGTTGATCTAGGTCTATTGCTTTTCATTTTAGTAAACCAAAGTATAACAAAAGCCAGTTACTGAAAATGTTAGAGATTGTTTTATTATTGGCATTTATTTGCTGAGAGTAAGAAACGTAATGGTCTTATAAAAAAATACATTTTATAGAACTGCCGAAATTATAGAATACTATAGGCTATTCTAATAGATTGCCTGTAGACGCATTTCAGACGTTGCTGATTTGACTTAAATGGGGTTGTGAGCAAAACAATGAGCATACTTGAGCGACTTGTACATGCTAGAATGTGTAGGTAATCCATATTGGTCTAAGCCAACATTCTCGGTGTAGACCCAAGTCCCTCCGACACGATCAGCCTTCTCATAGACAACCACATCGAACAGATGAGGATGATCCGATAGGTGGCGGGCTGCACATAGTCCTGCTGCTCCGGCTCCAATCACAGCTACACGACGTTTACTCATCATGTATGTCAATCAAGAGCACTGGAGAATAATAATATCATATTATTAATACATTAATGTGCACTTGAGGTTATACAATCTTTACCCCTCACCCTGATCAATTTTGTATTGATAAATATCAGATAAAATAATCGTCTTCAGTTTAGAATTCGTCGTCCAAATTATTCGTTTACTTTGAAAGGGAATCCAACGTTGATAGCAAATTACTCTAGATGAAAGCAGAAAAATCAGAAAAGAATATTGGTAATAGTTTGAATGAAATAGGACAAAAATGAGAAAATTTATGATGTTTTAAAAGTTTCAATGGGCTCTTCAAAGTGGCTGAATCGGCGGTAATGTCTTTGTAATATAGTGTAGGACAACTTTCCATTTCTTCCAACACACAAAGTAAATAAAATGTCGAATTGAAAAAAATTATGACTCGATAAAAGGTCTTTTTTTTAGAGGACCTGTAATAATATACTCTCCATAATATAATTTGATTAGTGCCCTATAAGGGTGAAGGAACATGGGAGAAACAGAAATTAGTGACATTTGTGTACACTTAAAACTGAACGGAGATTAAGGGATACTACGTCACATTTCCCACTCAGTGTTATTTTGAAAACACCCCCTTCGTCCGGTGTGTAAAGTCGATACGGGCCGATTTTTGTGTGTGTTACGAGCCTGACTTTGTTCCGTGAAAAGCAGGGCCCCCCCCCCTCGATTTTTTTAGGGGGAATCGTCCCCCCCGGAAAATTTGAAAAAGTGAGGGAAAAAATGGATAGCAAATACTGACTGAAGACTGCGACACACTTTTAGGCTCTGGAGGGCCCAAGAGTGCAGCGTTTAGACAAATAAAAATGCAAAAATCTTCTCACTCGGGAGCTACGCTCCCTCGCATAATATCCATCAAAATGTACAAGCAGATATTGTAGAAAAGTGAAGTGTGAAGAAAGTATATTGCTTGTTTTTATACTATAGTTCATTTAATATATCAAAACTTTCACCCTTCTCGTTCACTATGCTCCCTCGCACTGGCGTACTGATGGGGGGATTGGGGCAATTGCACCCCCCCCCCCAATAAAATTCATACGTGGTTTATTTCTAATTTGATACCAGTGATTTACAAATTTTGCTGAAATGGCAGGATTTTCCCCTGAGTTTCCGGGGGCTGTGCCCCCTGGACCCCACCCCAAATTTTTGGTGCGATTTTAAAATTTTAACCCCCCCCCCCCCTTCGAACAAAAAATACGGGCCTGCATATATGTAACATACAATAAAGAATTTCCCAAGAGAGCATAGAAAGAGAAGAGAGTAAGACAGAGGGAGAGAGAGAGGGAAGAAATGAGAAAGGGAGAGAGAGAGAGAGAGAGAGAGGAGAGAGAGAGAGAGAGAGAGAAGGAGAGAGAGGAGAGAGAGAGAGAGAGAGAGAGAGGAAGAGAGAGAGAGGAAGAGAGTTATGGAAATATTAATACAAAAGAATCTGTAAGATAATTATATCCAACCATTGTAGACATCATTGCAATTATTTCGAAATACATGTAGCCTACATAAAGGAAAAAGAAATATGTGCAATCTACCAAAGAAGAATAGAAATAGAACAAGGAGGAAAAGAGAAGAATTCAAGAAAAGGAGAGGAAAACACAAGATAGGAAATTAGAAGGTGATAGATTTACATAAGTTTCAGAGTGTTGATTACCTTCACTGCCTGTGGTATCTGGAAGTACGGCAAGCTGTTTGGCAAAGAGGGTCACTGTTTCTGAACTGGCAAAAATTTGGTAAGGAATCCCTACGTGGGGGAAGCATGGAAGCATACATGTAACCCTTAAGTCTCCCTTTCTCTTTCTTGTTGTCCCCTCCCCATTTTGTTTCCCAAGAATCTTCCCCGTGATCTACCCCTTTCTCTAAGAACAAGAAGCATTAGAATGAAAGCAATAATGTGGTACTATTTTCATTACAAAAAGTGTCAACATTTTATTCTGATAACATAATACAGTCATACAATTAAAGAACAAAATTTAAAAAATCTATTAACATAATGAATGCATAATGATAATTCAACTTTATATGTACACATAGTGCAAGTTCCTGACTCACTTCTATTCCTCTTTAAAGCTTAATTGTTTTTCCTCTTCTACAAGACACGTTCAAGGACCTTCCAGTAAACCAGAACCATTAGCAAAGATCCTAACAATGAAGTGGTTAATAAAATAAATTTAAACATTCATGGCAATTCATTTTGTGGGCTAATATTCCAGTCTGTGTAAGGCATTGTTATATGGATCTCTGCGACAATTCTTCCAAAAAAAAAACACACAATCATAATTAATGATCTCTACAAGAACAGGGCGAATTTCCTTGATACAAATGTATCGTATCCATAATGTCCTGAAGACTAACTAATTTTTTTAAAGTGTCTGTTCTATAATAATTGATACCACACACTAAAAAATGATTACAATCATTAACTCTTTTCATGATTTCTACTGTCTTGTACTTACAGTGCAGTTGCATCATTTGCTTATGTCCATATCAATCAATACAATGGCAGCATGGTTGCGTTATCAATATATATCTATACATCGCTACATCATTTGTACAAATAAAAGGATCCGTCCAAACTGCATAAACATTCCCATCGAAACCTAACCTTATTTCTTAGCATCACCCAGGAACAGAGATCTTGAGAATAATTGTCCGATCAGAGTCCAATCACATGACAATCCTGAATAGTGATTGGCCAAGAGCATGACAATTATTGTAGCTTTAAGACAGTCAAAGGGCAAAGTCTGCCATATTTTACTGATGTGACTGTAAATACAATATCTACACAGTCATACCACATCATGTGTTTGGGGCCAAACAGGTGTTAACTCATATAATCATATTAGGTGGTACAGAGAATGTCAATTAAAAAAGGTGACACAATTTTTTAAAAAGTTACTGAGGAGAAAAACTAGAGTAAAAATTATGGTAATAAAGTTCATATCATCTGGAATGTATAATTGATTAGGTTTTCAGTATCATGCATCACTACACATCATCTTCAAATTTTGTGCAAAAATCCAATTGGTTCACTTTCTTGTAGAACACAAAAGGGAAATAGAAATGGCCTGGTCAACTCCATTTAAATTCCTGGCCTATTGAAAAGTTATTCTTTCTCAACCCCTACTTTTTTGTTTTCTCATCATATTTGGGGCAATAGTCATGTAAATTATAATAGTTATTTCATGTAAATATATAAACATTAGCACAAATTTGAATATATGTATAATACGTGCTTGGTTTAAATACAGATATCTATTTCAATTTATATTATAATAAAGTGATAGAATTTAGTGAAAACATTACATTCTTGCTTTGTTTGTTCATTCATTTTTATAATTTGTAGCAAAATATACTCTCTTCTATTGTCCTACAGTACTGCATACATATACAATTATATTTATAATTCATGGATTAATATCAAATTTAACTACTGGCAACAACATTCTTGGGTATAGATATAAACCAAAGTTCTAGGTAAAATTAATTTCACAGATTAACTACGATTAAAAGTATATATACACAAGAATGTGCTAGCAGTGACATGATTATTCCAAACAAGAATAGGCATATAAAACAAACATTAGAACATTATATTCAAGACTTTGGGGAAAAAAGGAGTAGTAGTACAAAATGTATGCATGCCAATAGTGATGAAGGCTTGTCCAGTTATGTGAGACAAAGTAGTATATTACACGTCATGTGAATGTAAAAAAACAATGCACCAATCCCTTACAAACTGCATGTATCACAATTCAAAAATCACTCTTACTGAAAGAAAAGAAAAAAATATGAACTACTACTTCAGGTATGCATAATGTGTATTTTATATAAACGTTATCATCATTACTTTGTATTATTTGTTACACTTGAAATAATGAAGAAGTCATTGAAAGGTATAGCAACGTGTAATATACACACTCTTCATTGCTGCCAAAATTAAGTTTTCAAACATGTACTCTAATTAATGTGATATAAAACTGGTGATAATAATATTGATGTAATAAATGTATTTGTCCATTTTCAGGGCCTAAATGGGAGTAGTAATAACAAAGGGGCTTACAAATATTGAAATGAATTTAGGGAAGCATTGAAGGTAATATTGACAGCTGAAATGTAAGACAGTCAAATAATGCAGTGGAATGTAAATTTACTTTAAATATACTTGAAAGGTCCACCTTATGCAAATTTTAGAATGTTAAATAAAGAAGAGATGGAAAAAAAGATCCAAAAGAGGAATTGAGAATAACAAGAAGAAGTGAGAATTCAACAGATGGAGATTGAAGCAAAGAAGAACTTCTCTGGTTGATGTAATGATGACAACATTTCTAGTTAACAAGGATACAGGCATTATCTACATGGCTGTTGCTATATTCATTCATTTAACTTGAACCAAAAGGAATATTCATGACACAAGCCTTACAATGTTATTTGAATTGCTGGATCAAAAAAGTTCCTAGTAAAGCTTTAGCAATTTCTAAAGAGTGATGGCAGTAAGCTTTTGGATTAAAATTATAAAATGGCAGATAAGTGATATAATTTTATTTATTAACCTTCCTGCATTTTGTATGAAACTAGTTTTAAGCATTCACACATGATCCTAGATATAAATTAGTTTGCTAACACATAGCCATAGGCCTTCTGCAAAATATCAAATAGATTGATTACCAATAGAGGAAATAAATAATATTAGCCAACAGCACACTTGATCTTTAAAAAAATTAAAACCACAAAGCTATTCCCTTCAAGTGTTCTATTGAAAATATTTATAAAATTACAATGTTGTGATACCTTTAAAAATACACCCCAAAAAATTATGCACAATACAGTACATTTTAAAACTTCCCTTGTTGAAGGAATATCCCCTACAAGTAAAATAAGTACGAGTATGGCATGATTATAGACAATACATTGACAGTAATCTATTTCTTAAGTCAAGGCAATGATTAAGTGTTGTATAAGAGAGTTCACATATAAAGATGATATAAAAGATATAAGACACAATACAATGACAGTGTTTAATGGCATGTATACATCTTAATATTTGGGCTTATGCTCTTACTATCATACTGCTTTATACTATGGCCATACATCCAATGCAATTAACAGAACTTCATATCATTTTTTTTCTTTTTTTTCAAATGTTTTATTCTAGGACAAAGAAATTGAAATAAACAATCAAATACATAAGTTTAATGTCATACTGAGATATAGATTAAAGAAAATATAGAAAGAGACACAGAGCAAAACATTTCCTCTAAAAATCAGAAATATATTGACACTCATTTACTGTGTTCATATAAAATGTAATACTAATAGTTTATATTAAAGTGACAAAGGCTTTATCATACTTTAGACAACCAATGTTACACCTTACCTAAACGAGATTGTATCCTTGAAAATCGGCACATGTTCTGACATATTACATTACATTACAAAATATGTGAGTTAAAAATACCTGAAACAAAAAGGCACATAAAAAAGGATTTAGGTTCAATTGAAATGCTGATGACCATTGTCTTATAAATCCCCTGGAAAATGTTGTCTATACAAACAAATGTGGGGCACATCACAAAGACTAAAATCATCAGTAATAAGTTTGACAGTTCAATACCAATGGAGGCAGTGTTTTGGTCATACAAGTGTATCTTGAGGAATTGGTGTTGTTTGTGTTGTTGGTGGTGGTGATGATGGTGGTGATGATGATGGTGGTGGTGGTGGTGATTGTGGTGGTGTTGATGATTGTGGTGGTGTTGATGATGGTGGTGGTAGTGATACTTGTGGTTCATCATGTATCTCTGTTTCATGATACACTGATTGTTGTTGAGGTGGTAGTGATGGTAGTGGTGGTGGTGGTGGTGATGAGGATAACATCTGTTCTCTGTTGACAACATCTGGTAGATTTCTCTCTTCTACCTCTGGTATCCTGAATGCTAGCCCATCATAATCTCCCAAACCCATTTCACCTGTCACTATTTCATATGCAGGTGGTGGAGATAAGGGCCCCATTGAATCGATGGAGGGTCGGTAACGCTTTGCAAATGAACCTCGACGGCTGTCTCGACGACTGTCACGTCGACTGTCACGACGACAGGCGATACTGTACTCTGGAGGAATGTCCTCGTTGCCTGTTATTGTTGTGTTCCGCCGCAAGCCTGCTTCCTCTGCCAAAGAAATCAAACATTTGTTCATCATTAAATGGCAATTATTGTGGGAAAGGTAATAAGATTAATTGTTTCAATCTGTTAGCTAGCATTCCTGACAATGACCACCAAAGGACAGCTAGCCCCAACCCCAGAAAAAGATCCCCCAAGAAACTATCCTCGAAGGCAACAATTTAAAACCCAACACATACTACATGATCCTCCTGTGATCCGATTTTCAAAGTAATAGCAATTGTATCATGTTAAATAGAAAACACACACTATGATCTATCTTCTAAATGATGATAAGAATACTAAAAACAGAATTTTAGTGCATTGAGAATTTCTAGTCAGAATAAAAGCCGAATTGGCTTCAAATCATAAACAATCGCATTACTGGTCTGACGTCTTTATGATTCTGAGCTGCTTTAGCTTTTCCTCTTCCAAGGAAACATGAAATCCCTTAAAATTTCCATTTTCTTAATCATATGACTATACAGATCCTTGATCATTCAGATTTTACATGTGTGTTTGAATGTTTGTAAGTGATGCTATTGTAGATTCTTCCAAAATCAGATTGTACGTATTTGGATTCCGTCCCTGGGAAATACAATGAATTACCCCTTCTACAAGTTGCTGTGGTGTCTTTTGATATTCAAAGGTTTAACACATGATCGTTAGCGTAGTCGGAAAATGACCCCCATTTTTTTTAACTTTCAAGAAAATATTCCATTAAATAAAAAGTAGGCTTTCAATATGTCACTATATTTGGCCTATTGAGTATACATTCACATAAGTACCCTTTTTCACAAAAACAGGTACAAATGCATTAATATACTTGCCAATATCCTGAAAATATGATCCCTTTTTCATGAAATTTCTTGCTCTTCCAAAAAGGAGACCTTTTTCTAAAAATCTGAAATTTACTCTTTATAGGCAAATCTTTATTTAAAAAAACAATAATGTGTACACAAAGTTAACATAAAGTGATGCCTATCCCTAAGAAAATGGCTTCTTCTCAAGATGGCCAACCTTCAAGAAAATTATTTCTTTAGGATAAGGAAGCCATTTTCAAGAAGTGACCTTGATGACCTTTTATTAATTAGCTCATGGGCTGTCTGCACCACACATCAATGAATACAATCATGTAAGTTCATCTGTATTGGGAATAGGTATGTTTGAAAAGTAAATTTTTGATCTCAATACAAATCTTTACCTCCCAAATTTTCAACTGTTCAACTACATCCTTTGTTAGCAGTGTGACGTTTGATTTCAATAGGAATATATTGCAATGGTAAAATAAAAAGCCTTTCTTTTTGCTTGTCATTCCACTAATGAAATTAGAATCTATGCCGATATTTTTTTATAGCTTTAAAGATGCTAACTAAAACCTTGGACAGTGTTGCTTTGAACTACTTCACATCTCATGATATCAATGGTCATGACTGTTTTGTTTAGCTTACCTAACGTATGAACACTGACAATACGATGATGATGACCTGTACCAGGAGCTGGTTCATCCTGGTATCGTTTCCTTGCCATGGCGATGAGCCAGCAAACAGAGAGAAGACATACAGCACCAACAAATGCTCCAATCATGATGGACGTATGCTGTAAGTCTGTAAAGTCTGCACTTGATCCATTACCTGTAATAATAATAACAATAGTTCAGTTCTTGTATAGTGCATAATACGTTATGAAATAACATCTCTAAACGCTTCCAAAGAGCTTTGGAAATTATTACCCTAGCTTTATTTTATCAACAAAAACATGTCTTACTCTCAATAATCTATCCTACGTTCATTATATTATTTAACGTCCATATTATTCAAATCAGATATCATGGAGATATACTAGTAATGCGGTGGTCACATCCTGCCATACTTGCAAGTGCGTGCTGTCTAAGTGCAAAAACGTGGGCAAAATTTGGGTATCCGTACGTGATGAGTACCGCCTCCATACGGATTTGGGAGCACGCAGACACACCGTAGCACTTTTAGTGCATGAGGAACTGTCGCTGCGTTCAGGCTGCGTTCGGGCTACCGTTTTATCCCAGTGCGTGTGACGTGCGTGCCCGGTACTGCCAACGAGCGCACAACGCACCGACTCCGTGCGTCTTTTAAAGGCGCACATGATAAGTGCGTGGTCCGTGCTTACTCGCCACTTCCCCAGTTCAGCTATCCAATGAGCACGCAGAACTCACGTGGACCGTACGGAGTAAGCACTTACAACGCACGTTGTTCGCACTGATTTATGCAGTATATAGTCTCTTCAGTGGAATGGGCGGCATCTTGAGGCAGCAACAGCTGGGACTTCTGGAGAACATCGGAATGTCGTCCTATATAAACACCGAGTTCATCGCACGTACACGCACTTACAACATGCGAGTGAGTAAGGACACCGTACGTGAGCAGCACTTGTAAGTACGGCCTCCGTACGATAACGTGGCAACCGCACAGAGACCGTACGTTGTAAGCACGTTGTAAGCACGTACAACGCACTTACCACGTGCGCAACGTACGATGCACGCAACCGTTTCCCTCCCTACGTTTTCAGAAAAATATGGCGGCCGTGGCCTCCCCAAAAACCGTACGGACTAAAAACACGCACGGTGGGATGTGACCAACGCTTAAGTTAACACTCAAAGCTATTATTTGACAATGATTAGTACCGGTAGTAATATTTCATCTATCATTCTAAGTTATACCACCATCACAATCATCATCATCACCATTGTCATCATCATCATTGTCGTCGTTGTCATCATTGTTGTCGTCGTCGTCATCATCATCATCATCATCACCATCATCATCATCATCATCACCATCATCATCATCATCATCACCATCATTCAAAGTTCAACAAATAACAACAAAATTGTTAAATGATAATTTCATGATCTTTCAAATAAAAAGATTCCAAAATTGACTTTCATCTTGAAGTAATCATGATTGCTCGTTTCCATCCCATACTACTTTCCTATCGATATGAACCCAATGTACATGTTATTATTATTATAATTATTATTATTAAATTGTTGAAAGAAAGAGATAACATACGGAATTGACAGAGCTCTCCATATAGTTCTTCAGGGCACACACAGGCACCATTGGTACATATACCACCGTTAATACACATTGGAGAACAGGATGGGGTAGAGGTAGTGCGACCTGAAGAAAAGAAAAGAAAGAAACCCAATGATTATCATACCACGTTATAAGGGATATCAATAGAGGTGTAGTAATAGTATCTTATATTCAGTATTTGAAATGTCTAGCAAGATTAAACTGTACTGTATAATATTGGTATAAGTCTAGATAATTATGAACCTTTTTTGCTTTCAATTAAAAAATTATTTACACTGTACAGGAGTTATAACATGAGTACACAGTACAGTGTATTTGTATCTTCAAAAAATTACATTTTGATTGTTTATTTTCGGTATACAAATAATCATGAATATATAATGAGTACAATAATACCAATACCATAGCTGCATTCTTAGGAGATCAATTTCTATTTGATTTCTTTATTTCTACCCCACCATACATGTTAGTTTATAAGCATATTAATACACAAAGGCCCATGAATACAAACACAACATACTGTACCAAAGTCAAAAATAACCAAGAAAATTCATTAGTGATATCAAAAGATAAAAATGGTTTGTATCAGCATTGTTAGACAGAGAACTGAAAGGACACAATTATGCAGCATTACTGCTTGGTAGTTGATAGATAGCTTTCAACAAGGGAGGAAAGAAGAGATAGTTAGATTTACATAAATAGCTTTTTAACTATACATTTTGTGTACCTTGCCACCATGTATATACACGTACTGTAAATATGCATCTCAAAGAAATCATGAAACAAGTTTTGAATCCTAATGTGTTTCTCATTCCATATTAGTACCCAGATTGTTCCAAGATAAAATTTACAATTACTGAAACTGCTTTGAATTTTAAGAAAAGGTGTACTTTTAGTTTCTATTCAAAATAATTAGTGTATTGTTATTTCAAATTCAGACACATGAATAACATCATAGACTAATTATCACAAGATAACTGACAACAATAGTCATTGTTAAGATGCTCAAAGACAATTTGAAGAATAAACAATAATTCTTAACAATGAGAATGATCTACCATAAATTACATGAAATTCTACCACAGAGTGGTGGATATCACAAATATCCGTTGAAAATACTGATTTTATAAATAGAGTAGTAACACTTTTGGGATTGGCCTGTACCTCAGTCATACCAACAAACCAACTCTAAACTAAGCAATTCTAGGCCATTGGGGGGTAATTCAATGTACAGATTGTTCAGTCTGGTGTTGGTCTGGTGTTGGTCTGGTGTTGGTCTAGTGTTGGTCATGTTGGTGTCACTAAGGTATTGGTTGTCTACTCTGACAACCTACATGAATGGAAAGCTCAGCATTGCATGCTGTCTACAAAGCTAATTTTTTTCTGTTCAAAGTAAGTATGAAAAGCAAGTTATGAAAGGAGTTTTATGATAGATGACCATTACCACTAATGGAAAGTCTAAGAAAAGTCCAGAGTAGTCACAACAAACAGACAGACTAAACTAAATTTGCATTACTCTGACTGGCAATTAGTCGGTTTGGAGTCAGTTGTGGAGTTAGTTTGGCAGTATGAATAGAGAATTACAATAAATTGTTGGAACACTTGAATAAACAATTTTCAAAGATTTGCATGATTTCTTGAAGCACATGGATTTAAACTGATCAAATCATGGTAAACATATACCAGTAGTCATTATATGAATCAGAAGTTTAATGACATTTTACAGCTACTTTTGAAGGCATGTTAAATGTTCCAACTAACCACATACCCCTAAAAAAAAACTAAGAAAAACAACATTTTCCTGTACTCCACCAAAGGAAGGAAACGACTATTCATTACCAGCACAGTCATTGCAGTAAAGTGCATGGTCAATATTGTTTGAAGGTTCAGTTCTGTGTGTACTCAGGGACATTAATCTCTGAGAAATCACAAGTATATAAACACTGATGATGATCAAAGGTGTATTTGACATTTTCTGTATGACAAGGGCGAAATTCACTGTTTGGAATTTAAAACTGGAATAATATTAACAGGGAGCCATAATTTTTTTTAAAATAAATTTGAATCAATTTTGATTTTATATATATATATGTATTTATTTTCAGTAATAGCCTCCCTTCCACCACAAGCCATTGAAAATAGAACATTTGTGCATAATTTCTTTCGCTAAATCTGAATATAATATATGACTGTACAGGTACAACGCGCACATATCCAAAAACTTTTGAGCAACTTGGAGTATACCGGTAGATAAAAAAGTATGGCTATAGATTGAAAGGAGAAATGAATTGAACAACTCATGGTTTAGAGACAATATACAAATGATGTATGCACATAACTTAATTATACCATCTAACCATACTTGAGCAGAGGTTGTTTACATAAACAGCGTAAACAAGAGCGGATAGGACCTGTAATGAACGAATGACGCTAGCATCATTTGTTTTATTAAACAAAGCTCCAAGATCCTCATTATTTGTTACAAAAAGAATTCATTTCAATATTGAATTGTGTAATTATCGCTAACAAATAAACCTCAGGTTTAATAGGCTTTCTTTAGTGAGCACAGAGATAAGCACACTTACTACTTACTACCCATGTCAATGTGCAGCGCTATTCACTAATGTCAGCATTATTCACCCCCAAACATATGCATATTAACCTCTCCACACACCCTGTACATGTACTCTGCTGCGCATCACATACTTAATAATGGAACTACTGTTCGCTTTCTCATGGTGAAAGGTAGGAATTCTCAGAAGATGAATCCCACCATTTTTACATGTGACTGGGTTTGACTACCCATTTGACGAGTGAGTGAGTTGCACAAAGAGATGGATGAACACAGAGAGAGGGAGAGAGAGATGAGAGACCAAAATGAAAGAAAGAAAGAGAGGGTGAGAGAAAGCTAGAGAGAGAGGAGAGAGAGAGAGAGAGGAGAGAGAGAGAGAGAGAGAGAGATGGAGAGAGAGAGAGAGGAGAGAGAGATGAGAGACAAAAATGAAAGAAAGAAAGGGAGAGAGAGCTAGAGAGAGAGAAGGAGAGAGAGAGAGAGAGGAGAGAGAGATGAGACAAAAATGAAAAAAAAGAAAGAGAGGGAGAGAGAGCTAGAGAGAGAGAGAGAGAGAGCTAGAGAGAGAGAGAGAGAGAGAGATAAGGAGAGAGAGAAATAGACAGAAAGAAAGTCACACATAAGACAGACAAAGAAACAGAAAAAAAGTTAAATGACAGATCAAATAGATCAAATAGATAAAAGAGATCTTGGAAGGCTTACCTCTGCGCCTCCACTGTTTTCTTGATACACTCATTATAATACAGCAAACAAATACCTCGACAATTCACAATCAGCAAGTTTCACAGAATGAATGAATACATCACATTGCAAAGAGGTATGTTGACATCCCAAAGAAAAAATGTGTAATTAGAAAATACAGAGAAATGAGCTCAACAGGATATAAGATATGGCATTGAGAGAAGACTGAATCACGATGAGAGAACATACATGTACACGGCGGTTGAAGCAAATGAGGTCATAGAGAGGAATGAGAGCAATAATTGACGTAGTTTGCCTTTAGGTATGGAGAAAATATAGCTCAGTCATAAGGTAGGAATAAGGACATATGAGGAAGTGTGTATGTGTATGTGTGTGAGAGAGCAAGAGAGAGAGAGATATATATACCAATATATATATATATATATATATATATATATGAGAGTAGGTCGAAAGTAGCTCAGGGAGAAAGAAATTATAAACTGAACAAGGTTGATATATATATTTCTGCTGTGCTAATTTTCATTTTGGCACAAGATAGATGTACAGTATGAGAAAAAAATTTGGAAAGAGTGTGCGTCTAAAATGCTTACTAATCAATCTTCTCTAATAATTAGAGATCTACCAAGGGCAAAGAGCAAGTCAGAAAGCGACAGGGTGAGAGAGAAAGATAGAGAGAGAGAGAGAGAGAGAGAGAGAGAGAAAGATAGAGAGAGAGAGAGAGAGATAGAGAGAGAGAGAGAGAGAGAGAGAGAGAGAGAGAGAGAGAGAAAGATAGAGAGAGAGAGAGAGAGAAAGATAGAGAGAGAGAGAGAGAGAGAGAGAAAGATAGAGAGAGAGAGAGAGAGAGAGAGAGAGAGAGAGAGAGAGAGAGAGAGCATGAATGACAAGAGAACTAATTAGGTGTGATATAAGATGCAGATATTTCTTCCTCTCCTGAGTCTCCTCATAATCTAATGAAGTAGAATTCAATTATACTAATTAAAGCCATGGCAGTTTTGTTTTTCTGAACACTACCAAAGGACATTTCTCTAAGAGGATTGTGGCATAGCAAGGATAGATCTATAAGGCTTCACAGGATTTATAATATATGAGGACTAGGACAACAACAAAAAATATGAGAATAACAATATAATGTAATAAAATTACATGCAATTACCCGCAATGAACGCGTCACATTAAATGCCTGCTAATATAATTGTGCCCAGGTTATGATTACCGGTAATGCCTTAGAAAACCAAATGCCTGCCAATCAAGGCCTTCAAATAATTGGCTTAAAGCCCATCTGCACTAGTTTGGCCAGGAAGGATTAGACCTCCCTGCATGGTCACTGACAGGTGGTTATCTCATCAAATCAGCTCTCAATTGACATAAGAAAAGAGGTCCATGAGGGACCAACGGTCACTGCTTAGGCATTGTTTGCTATATAGAGGGCGCAAGCAGCTATAAGTAGTGGTAGGGAGCTGTCTTATTAAGGGTAAAATACTTGGCTAATAGCTTGAATTGAATTTCAAAGTTGGTATTTTATCTAAGCCAAACACTAAGTAAAATACTCTAACTTAAGTACGAATTGAAGACCGGACCTGGCTAAAAACACCGAGATAACTAAGTACGAGTGAACTTCACAGGTGCACACTCTCCATAGTTAATCCAATGGTATTTACTCGGGATAGGATCCTAATTATCACATCCCCAGGTGGAATGGACATAGGGACAATGCAAGTTATAGAATTTAAAATCAGTATTTTTGTTGCAAAACAAAGAAAACAAACATCACAACATGTAAAAGTGCCATTTTAGGATTATTTGTTAAACAAGTGCACAAAGTGCAATATTTCATAAAAATCAAAAGGTTTTTGTTCTGCACAAATAAGAAATAAAACCAACAAAATTTGCTTTATTAATGTGAGTTAACCCATGTCAACACTGCACCACTTTCCAAGCAATTAAGTTAGTGACACAATATCATGAGCATGATTGGAATTCAGCTTGATATCATTGTAAACTTACTCTTGCGAAGTTCGCATAGATCACCTTCAAACTTTGGTGAGCAAAGGCATATGAAGCCAGACCCAAATTCTAAGCACGTGCCCCTGTGAAGGCAAGGGGACGGCTGACAAGCAAGGGGCAACGGTGGGGCTTAACACAAACAAAAATGATGAGGATGAAAATAAAACCAAGCATGCATGAATTAGTCACTAATAACGCGGCATCAATATGCTAAACAAACCTACACTGAGCTGTGGTGTTGAGAAGATTCCAGAGTTAATTAGAGAACTAAGTAGTAAGAGCTAATATGTATATACATTCTTTAAGTCTGTAAGATCATTCAATATGAATGGAATGGAATGGAATGGACTTATCTTGACTTATTTGCATGTTTGTGCAAAATATGCAGTTGATTATATTCTTACATCTTACACTCCAAGTGTCACAAAAAATGACTTAAGAAGACAAAGCTGTGCTTTATTTTTTACTCTTCATTTTGAAACAAACACTGTTCCATAATTATGATCTAATTTTGAGTTTCAAACAGACAAACAAAACTTAGTTTGCTTTTTGTCAACATACATTAGCTTTTTAATACCAAATGTGGCAATATTGTGCAAAGACTGAATTAAAAAAAATTATATTGGGAAGGCTCAAGGAAATCATTAAAAAAAGAAATGTATCTTGGTGGGATGTATCGCTTCTTATTATCTTATGAAAAAAATTATGAAATATATTTCACCTTGTTGTTTGTTTTCTTGATTATCTTGCCAATATCAGGGATGAGACAGAGAAATTCCCCAAAAGGAGGAAGGTTGAATGGGGCTCTGGGGGCAATGCCCCTTTCGGATGTTAAAGGTACTATGTCCCATTTACAGGTCAAAAAAATGAAAAGGTTAAATTCCAACGGCATTTGAATGACAATACTAATTTAGAACTTCCCTCAAAACGAAAGGGCTTGAAAATGGCTTTTAGTGGGAAAAAAATGACCATTAGTTGTCAAATCGACTTAAGTGATTGCTTGTTGTTGTTGTTGTTGTTTTAGTCTTAAAGGCGTGTGTCATTCAATTATGAATATTTATTTGCAATCACCTTAGTAATAGTCTGATTTTCAGGCCCTTTTACCGAATGGTCATACATTTTGTGCTGCACAAAGATTCAATCAGTTTAATTTTGGCCATTGCAAGTTGTGGGTTATTGATGTAGACAAATGCTCATGTACCTGTTCACAGCTCATTTTATGTATGTTATTACCAAAGAAAAAAAGATGTCAGTCAGTCACTCAAAAGTGTCTGACAGTGAAGTCTATAAGTTAAACGGGTTTCCTTGCATAATATGAATACTAGGACACTGCTAATGTTTAAATTTCACAGATAGGACATACATGGCATATTTTATAATTCCTGCAAAGTTCTACATAATTTGATGTTGGCTGCAAAAGGGACATAGTATCTTTAAGGGAGCCGGGCCACACTCCCTAATCTTTGAAATTATCTAGCTGCATGCCATGATAATAGTTCCTTCAAAATGTCAGTATCCCTTGGTAAAAGAAGTAGAACATCATGAAAAAGGGCATGGTTTGGCAAGATACTCTTCATCATCTGGAATATCTGCCACAACTTTTTTTTTTCAATTACAAAAAACCTTCAAAGTACGACTGAAGTGACATCATTACAGCATCGAACTAATGCCAAGGATACAAGTGTCAACTCTAAGAAATACATACTCACATGCAACATGCAACATGCAAAGTAGATCTGTTTTATACATGTATACATGTATATGTGTGTACGTGTACATCTGTGATGACCCTGCCTCTGATTCAATGTGTAACTCAAAGATTGATCAAAGGGCATGGAAAACCCACTTGTAGGCCCCTAGATTCTGAGGACAGTTCACAAGCAGTATTCTCTTCTATTTGGATCTAATTAAATGCCGTCTGTACTAGTTTGGCTAGGAGGGATTAGACCACCCAGGGTGGTTACTGAAAAGTCACATCAACTCAGCTCTCAATTAACAAAAGAAAAAGAGGATCATGGGGACCAATGGTCACCGATTAGGCATTGTTTTCTATATAGAGGGAGCAAGTAGCTACAAGTAGTACAGGGGGGCTTTAAACCAAATTTAGAATTTAGAGAAGGTTGTATTTTAAGGCCAAGTGTTACGTCCCTACAAAGGCAACACAGAGTGTCGGTATTATATGAGTAGAACATTCACATTAATATTATAAGGTTAGTCTCAAACACCTGTACTTGAAAATTCACTCCAAAGATGATATATTTTTATAAATGAGACATAAATATGTGATGATGGATGGTGTCTTACCTAGACAGACTGATGTAGAATCTTCATCAGAGTTATCACCACAGTTATCTCTCATGTTACATGTTAACTGCTTTGAGATACAATGATCATTGGAACAGGCATAGTAATCCCCGGGGCACTGCATGCCACCACCTACAATTAGAACACAATACCAATCACTTGTTACAAGTAGCATTGACAGACAGTCATCTCACGTAAAATACTCATTATCAAATTCCATATTGTATATAAATAATTCAGTTTTTTTTTTAAAGGAGGGAAAATATCTTGAAAGTTGAATAAATCCTTAGAGAGAGATGTGAGCATATTATGTAGTAAGAGCTTTTGAAGGTGTCAAGTCTCATGAAATAATTTGAATACGGGTATGCTTTCCTTTATTCTTTACTTTATGGTAATCATTGGCCAAATTTAGATGAGGAACGTAAAGTAAGAAAAGCCCTGTAGCTATTTAAAAAACTATCAAATCAGATAAACAACTCACACAATATTATTTAACTCATTGTACAAGAACCTAGGCTAAAACATGAACTTTGCCTGTAATTTCAGCCAATTTCCTAACAAATCTGAATTTCTTTTTTCTAAATCTAAAACCCCAATCTAAAGCTATACCTCTGACAAAATGAGCTCTAAAACACTGCTGGGTGACCATTTGAAACATGCAAGGTTTGTGTTACTAACCTGCTTCTATGTAGAAAGTGAAGTAAGCTTCAAACGAAGCCTCTACAGCTGTGCTACCTTCCCACCTCACATAAAGATATTCTTGTGATGACATGACCTGGTAGTTATTAGGAGCCATCCTAGCTACATAGAGGGGAGGGGCTTCAGAGGTCAAACCATCACGGATCTCTAAGGAGCTGGTGTCATCCACATTGGTCTTGGAGTAATCTGATGGGTGATGAGATGCAAGAAAATAAGATTCCTTTCTAACACATGTACATGTATTTATATCTTTCTCTCTTTCTTTAAACAGGAATCAGAATGATAGTTAGATCGAGGAAGAATAACTGTATGTATCTACTGTACTAAACCTGTTTGATATCGTTTAAATTGTATTAGAATTGCACTTTCATTATCTTGATAATAATTCATCAGCAAGGACAACTGTTTATTCAAAATTGCCTTCACAGTAAAACACCCAATAATTAGCCATTCTTAATCAATTGCTACTAGGCTCCAGTCAATTGATATTACAAAGATGCTGTCATATATCACAACAACCCATACGTTACCAAAATATTTTTTATAATTCTATTTTCATTTATATTAGAGATTGTAAGGTTTCCTAATATATAAATTCATGTTTATTACTTGTAATTTTTACTCCAGCAGAACCAAATTAAATATGTTACTATCATTAAAAAAATAAAATCTTCTTACAGAAATCTCCTCCGCTATTCCCCCCCCCCCCCCCCCCCCCCCCCCCGGGCTCTATTCCTGTTAGTTCTGAACAGTCCGATAAAGAACTTGCTTTGACAATATTCCACCCATCTCTTTATCAAATAATACCGAGTGAGTCAAAAAAAAGTTTACACCTAGAAAATTGCTAATTATTTTAAAAATCATCTATGAACAGTAAATTAATATACATCTTATGAAAGAGTGTTTTATCCAAAATCATTTGGTACCAGTTTTGTGTGGTATGTGTTCACGCTTGGATGAACAGGTGGCATTGTTTGCGAGAGTGCAAAAATCGACTTGCGCCAAAGTGATGCCTACAGTATGTATTATTCTGGGATTAGCGGAGTGAGAGAATGGATTGAATGTATCAAATGAAATGCATTGCATATGTTTTATTGCAAAGGGCAAAGACACACACACCCACATACACGCGCACAAAATGTTCGCTGATATTTGATATTCGATATTTGATATGTGTGGCATGATTAATTTCGTTAGGGATGTTATTTGGATCTGCAAATACCGAATTAATACCCAAATCCCAATTGTTTTATTCAAATATCACATAGGCAACTTTGGCACAAGTCGATGTTTGCACTCTCGCAAACAATGTCTCCTGTTCATCCAAGCGTGAACACATACCACACAGAAATGGTATCAAATGATTTGGGATAAAACACTCTTTCAAGACATTTTTTTTTTTTTTTTTTAATTTATTTCCACATGTGGGGTGGATTGCCCTTTCAACTTAAGTTGATTTTCAAAGGGGTCCACAGAACAATTTAATGTTCATTGATGATTTTTTTAAAATAATTAGCAATTTTCTAGGTGTAAACTTTTTTTTGACTCACACTGTATAATCTAGTTATTTCGACAACATCCTCTCATATTTCACCTAAGACCAATATTCCATACCTACCTTTAATATGAAAGAGCACCTTCATATGAGATTCAGCTTCTATATACCAGATGATATCAATCTCCAGACCAGAATATAAACCAGACATATATCCCCTTGGAGCAAGCACTGTGTATGCAACATTTCCCTGATCCATTGACACTGTCGGCATTACTGTACGAGAATCTATCAAAGAAATAAAAACAAAGAAATTATACATGATAATTACATAAAAGTAAATAAATAATTACAAATATATAATACTTACATTACAATATAAAGAACTTAGAAACATAGTCAGTTAAATATGTATGTTTGTCTGATCTTGAGATTGTTGTAATTTTAATTTTTCTTATGACCCTGGCTACTGGCCTCATTTTGATCTCTTATAACTAGAGTAAGCTGTTGTGTTGATGTTTGGTCAAAATATAGCGGAACAGGATGTGCTTAAAGATGAGGTTGAGTTCTGGGAAGAGGTGAAAAACAATTTGTGAGCGTTATCATTGTATTATGCAAATGTGGAAGAACATCAGATAAAAAGTGTTCCCTGAAAAGCATGGCTCTTTAAACGCCTAAATATTCTAAATATGGCATGTAACAGCATTAAAAGCGGGACAGATTTTTATGCCACACGTTAGTGTAGTCCCATATACATATTTCTGTATACAGTGATTGTAACTTTACCAAGACTGGGCCAAATTTATTATCATTTTGATGATTCCAGAACCTTGCGGTACACACCAATATTTATATATGCTAGATGATCAACCTTTTCTGATTGATTCCACATTGTTTCTTTCACAATGTAATCTCATGACCAGAACTCAACTTTATCTTTAAATCGTGTGAGAATTTTGAGGACAATTTCATAATCCTTTCATTATTATTTTCATTTCGACATCATGCTCCAGTTGTGTGGAATAATCTCACTACTCAATTACAATCAATCAACTTGTTAAACATATTTAAAAGAAAATTGAAGAAATTTGTATTAACTGAATAAATCTGAATCATGTATTATAAAGTTATATTTTACACCTATTCTTATTGTGAATAAAAAAATTATATCAAACATGCCTTGCAATATACTTGCATACATTTATACTTTGGCCATCTCGACAAAACCCCCTATTGTTTTTTATGGCCATCCTAATTTCTATTTCTTATAATACTGTTCAAAAAACATTTGTACTGTATAGTACTGTATATATATATATATATATAGGACACAAGGTAGATAAATAAAAAAACACCGGAGAAGTGAATATTCCACTGACGTTTCGGGCATAGCCCTTTATCGAAGTGATTCAAGCATGCCGAAACGTCAGTGGAATATTCACTTCTCCAGTGTTTTTATTTATCTACCTTGTGTCCTATTCATTTTATGCACCGACGCAGAACCATTTATTTTTACATTATATATATATATATATATATATATATATATTCTTAAAAACTTGTATATGAATGTATATATTTTATGTATTTACCTATGTATTCTTAATGTAACAAATTGAATTGAATAGAATAAATATCATGTCTTTTGAGGTAATATTCCTAATGCACTGCACCAATTTTGAAATGTTTAAAAAAGAGTTGTAGTTCTGTAAATTGAGATGAAAGCCAGAAAGCTAAGGATCAAGTTCGATTTATGCCACTTTGAGAGAAGGTATTTGATAAATTCATGTATCACATCTCTCTGATTCACTGTATCAAAAAGATTTGATATGGAATGACTGTGGTTCTCATCAGTCCAAAAACCCAGGTCTTTCTGTTTCTTTGCCCTAAACCAGATTCAAACCAATGTTTGTTTAAATTCCAGGTCAATCTGTGTTTCACTGATAAAAAGGACATCTGCATACTCTATCATCAGGTTTCCGACCTATCAGATAGTATTAACTTTGTCTATTTCTCTCTCTTTCCTTTTATTTGGGTTGTTTTTATCAGTTTCCGTCATGCAAAATGAGGGTTGAGGTGAAGAGAATTCATTGAACCACACTGTCACTGACTCATCATCATCTCCTGTCATTACAGTCTTATCACGTGGATCTATGTTAATGCCCTGAATCTGATGTCATGAGGGTGTCATCGTGCGCTGAAACCTCTGGTAATGCAAGTTCCATCATGTCAATTTACATGTATACTGCAGGACAGGAAGATATATTGAGGGTAGGGGTTCTCTTTATACATTTTATAAAGCAGAAGGTCAATGCCAAATAGCAAAGTCTTTATATACAAGAAATCCAACATAATTCTCCAAAATACAAAAAAATCATTTTTTTAAAAATCTATAGAAATTCAATACCCAAAATAGTTGAGTTAATAAGAAGTCACACAGTGTCACATTCAGCGTGTAGGAGTAGGAGGCTCTAACACCAGCTAACGTAAGTTAATTGATCATTACTACTATAATACTGTCATAATGGATCATACAAAGCTACCATCTCACCTGTATATATTGATTGCTCATTATTCTTCTCAGAGTCGGTGATAAAGGTATACTGTGCACTGAATGTCCTCAAACCAGAGTAAGTATTTGGTTGATTCGCCTGAATGCCAAGGGTGATGATCGTTTCATCTGAAGAGCTGATTATAATGTTTGGACGATTGATGCCCAAATACACCCGAGGTGTCTGACTGTTGCCAAGGTCAATCTAATAGCATATGAAACAAAATCAAATGATTATATCCTCTAGACATGTTCTGAAAACATGAATAGCATCAGAGAATGACAGAGATTTAAGTAAAGGTTAGAACTATAAAGACATTAAGACACGCAACATACCGGCAGATGCAAGGGGAGGGGCTTGTTTCATTATACAATGTAGACGAACAGTGTTTAACCTCCACCCTCAACCTTTTTTAATGCATCCACACTTCTTGTGCAGAGAATATCCTACATTTTGTCCAAAAAAAATAAGTCATTTTACGCTGTCTCTGCAAAGTCTCTATTTTTCCTTATCTATCTTTCCCTGCCCCCCCCCCCGTCTCTCTCCGTGTGTGTGTGTGTGTCTCTCTCTCTCTCCCTCCCTCCCTATCTCTCTCTCTCTGTCTCTCTATCTTTCTCTTTCATCTTTGTTTCTCTCTCTCTCTCTCTCTCTCTATGACACATGCTTAATAGCTTTACAATGTGGTACCAAAATACACAAGCATGGTCATGGTGGTTTCATATCCTTCTATATCATAACAAACACAGCTAAATGACTTCCATAAACAGAGATAAGCCACAAATTCAAGGATATCTCCGCCAGCTGCACTAATATTCTCACAACATGCAATGTGTATATCAATGGACACTACCAGAATGTACACAGCAATAATTGGATAAAGTATGAATTTGTCATTTCTTTGCAAATGCACCAAAAAAAGTGGAAGAAAATGTTACACTCCAATGCACATGTGTATAATATTGTTTCTAATACATTGTTTTCAGATCAGGGTGTATGGTCTTTATTTTTATCATCATTTTCTACCACTCAACTACACAGTTCTATATGGAAGTATATACATGTAAATGAACATACAAGTATTCCTCTTTGATAGACCCGTCATTCCTACTTGATCATCCAGATCCAATTCTAATCTGAACACTAGAACCATCACTTATACAGAAAATAATTATTTTTGGTCTGGTAAAAGTTGACCCGTACACTAACCTGCAAATAAATATCTTATATCCAGTTGCTTGCTCATTCACATAGACTTCTAACCCTAGCCCTACCACTTGCCTGCAAGACATCATTACATGGTCCCACTCTAGCTTCTTACACTCACATGTAGGAAATACCTGGTCTCCTTCTTCGATATTCCAGCTACTTGGAAAGTCTAATCCTAACCGCACACCTCTTATCTCTGTTTCATTCTGGAATCCATCTTGTATTTAGTACCTGTACGAACTCTGTTTCGATTAATGAACCGCCCTTCTACTTGTAAGTCTAGATGAAAGTCTAACTTAAACCTCTCCCACTCACCTGTAAGTAATCTCTGGTTCCATTCTTAAACCCTCCTGCTATATCATCATCAAGATGAAAGTCATTGAAGACCAGTCTGAGGTTAGTGAGGTTCCTGTTCCTCAGAGTGTAGGTGCAGGTGTAGAAAGAGTTCTCACGAGGGTAGCTTGAAGGGAAGTTGGGTGCAGATATTTGTCCCTCTATGTCAAATGACCCTTCAATCATTCTATTGCAGGCTGGAAATATAATCGTCAATGAAAACAAGTCAAAATACCATACATTATTAAGTAAATAGTAGATACACTGAAAATAATTGACCAACATTGCTAGGGATAAATTAGGGTCTTCTCTTTTCTTTTAATTAGTATCCCATAATACACTACTACATTAAGAAGAAAAAAAGGTTCATATTGAAACTTATTATGGTAATGATGTAAAAAATGATGTATTGTGAATAGATGGTAAAGCCTCCCCCTCTACCCTTTCCCAACCCTCTTTCCAGTCTCCTGACACTTTAACAAATGTATCATGTCTTGAGTAAAGTCCAACTCAATTTCCCAATGAAGATCCAAACTATTCAACTCATTTCCAATAACTATGAATTTGGCGTAAAGACCCTGGCGGAAGTGGAAAAAAAAATAAATGAATTATATAAACGGAAAGCATATTCAGAGTCTGTCAGAGGAGTAGCAGCTCTATAAAATAAACTTGAAATCTGAAGCTTTGAAAATCTGAAGTTATCGACCTAACAACTACATTGCAGCCATCGACTTGATGACATCATGTTATGTGGAGTATGCACATTCACAATAATTTGTAACAATTAAGCACAGCTCAACACCTCACCTATATAGGCAAACCGGTTCGATCCACCTGTAATGTCGTCATCGTATTAAAGTGCGACAAATTTGACCTCTTTTGACCCGTAATTTGGAGGGGTGTGGAAAATGAGGTTTTAATTTTCTTTTGTGCAATATTGAAAGGGAGAAATATTTGTACTCCTTTATATTTGTATTCTACGTTCATTCAGCTTTCCATTGATATTAAGTAGTATTTTCTGATAGAGTCTTTGGTCTTTACGTAACTGTATTCAAAACTGAATGACGCCATGAAAACTAAAATTCCTTTGCAGGAGCAGCTATACACTGTAGAACACGGCCTACAGTAGAGGATTGTTTTGCACTTCAGACCCTGTTTTACCAATTGTGAGTGGCAATGGTTTGTGCCTGCAACCCCTCTCCCCCCCCCCCCCCTCCCCCTCCTCCTTACTGGAAGAACATGAGATAGAAAGAGATACTTACCAAGCCCTGAAACGTTTCTCCACAGGCAGTGAACGAGGAGAATCCAACTGTGGTAAAATTGGCTTGAAAATTTCATCTTTGAACCTACATGAAAGGGGGAAAAAGACATCATTTATTGCCTGTCCTACATGTAGTACATGTACATGTACATTGAAATATTAATAATCTGCACTGGATGGTGAGGGCCCCATAATCTCTGTTGATAACTTGTGCCACACACTCTTAAAGGGAACCAAAACCTTCATACTAAGTTACTTTTATTGTAAAGTTTAAAAGAGTTGAATAAAATCAGTGAAAATTTGAACAAAATCGGGCAAGGAATAAGGAAGTTAGAGCTTTTTGAAATGACTAGTCACTAGAGGGTGGTATTCAATTTGATGACATCATCTGTGGACAACTCTCCATGACTTTTGTACATAAAATTTCACAATTTTTTGGTTTTGTTCGTATTTATTTGTGTTCTTGATCCGACTTCATAACATGTGAAGTATAATATCATTTTTGCATTCTATATCTTGCTTTCAGGGAAGTGGATTATCTCAATCACAAGAAAACAAAAAAATTGTGAAATTTTATGTACAAAAGGCATGGAGAGTTGTCCACAGATGATGTCATCAAATTGAATACCGCCCTCTAGTGACTAGTCATTTCAAAAAGCTCGATTGTTCTAGATAGCATTGGAAATTCATGGAATGGGTTTTTACATATATATACAGATGGTTCTAAACTCGAGGATGGGAAGACAGGAGCCGCATTTTATGTGTCTCATTATAATGTGGTGAAATTTTTTAGATTATCCCATGTCTGTATTATGAGAGCAGAACTAGTGGCCATACTAATGGCACTAGAGTGGATTAATACATTTATTGAATCCTCTTCGGTGGTAATTTTTAGCGACGCTTTGTCAGCTTTACAAATGATCGATTCATACTTTATTAGATGTGCTATTGTAAATGAAATTTTATCCATAATTAATATTTTGCAGTTTAGGGATGTTTGTGTTGCTTTTGAATGGATTCCGTCACATTGCGATATTAGGGGCAATGAGATCGTAGATCGGGCTGCCAAAAAAGGAGCCATGAAAAGGTGTATAGACATAGTTATACCAAATACAAGAAGTGAATTGGCAGCCTCTCGTTTGATCCATTATAACAAATTATGGCAAGCAGAATGGGACAATGCAGAACACGGTAGATTTTTATATGCTTTGCATAGCGACGTTTCAAAGCCCATACATAGACAAGGCCTATCTCGCAGAGAAGAATGCTTGATACAACAACTAAGAGTAGGTAACTGTAGTTTAAATTATTACCTTTTTCAAATTAACCAACACGATACTGGTCTATGTGAAGTTTGTCAAGAAGATGAAACAATTAAACATTTTATTTTCTATTGTACAAAATACGACAAAGATAGACGTCTCTTAAAAGAAAGGATTAAATTGAACAACCCCAATCTGAAACAATTATTGATGTCTAACCCAATTTTTACTCGTGAATTATTGGGTTACATATACGATACTAATCGTTTTAGATAGCTTTTAAAGCTAGCTATCAGGGATCCCCTTAACTTATGTCGATCCTGTAATAATATATAAAATGAAGTATTTGCGGTTTTTCCATGAACAATTGCAACTAACTCCCATCTCGCCTTTTATGTGCATTTTATGCAATTTTAATATAGCAGCCTTTTTTTTTTTTTTTTTTTTTTTTTAAAACCATATCACTATTAATTTCATTTCACCAAGGAAAGTCGCTCGTGGGCTTGATTTCCGAAGCCCACGCCAAAGCTATACACGAAATTGACTGGCGCAAATAATCTTTGAGATTGAAGAGCGCCATCTAAACGAAGAACCAACCAACCAACCATCTAACTTCCTTATTCCTTGCCCAATTTTGTTCAAACTTTCACTGATATTTTTTAAATATCTTAAACTTTACAATAAAAGTAACTTAGTATGAAGGTTTTGGTTCCCTTTAACCATCAACTTTCATACTACACAGTTACCATTTCACCTATCTCAGATTTGTTGCCACTAAGTTTACATTTATTGTACAAAGAGTGGACCCATTATGACAAATTCCAGTTTGTATAGTTCATAAGGAACATTTTGCACTAAAAAATGAGTAAATAATCATACACTCAAAGACCTTTACTTGTTCAATTAACAGTACAAATATACAGGTAAAGCATACAATTTGCGAGGTAGATTTCAAATGAAAGAAAACTATGATAATAAAATAAAATTCTGATTAAAAAAAAGACATTGCTACCGATTCTGGTTCTGCAAGAAATCCTCAATATCTTTGCAATTTTAGCATACACATACATGTACACTGTTGTTAAAATTAATTATTTCATGACTGACATAAAAGTGAGGAGGCCTTCCACGGTCCCCTCTCCCAGTCTAGTCTAGCTCTCTGAATAGTCCAATAAGCTACATGTGTATGGTTTAAAGATGGTTTTGATTCACTGAAATGGGTAAACCAGCCTTTTGAGGATGCAGAATTCCTCAAACTGTACAATCTTTCAGTTTCAATCATATTTTATTAAAACGCTTTATTAACAATTCCACACTGCCTCATACTGTATACAGTTTAATACTGCATGAATGTTTCATGTGTGTACCTGGACATAAAATTCATTATTAATATTTGTCTTATTTCTTTTCGTGAACAAAATTATGACCACAGACTTGTGTCCTGAGTTTACATGTACAGTACATCTACATCTTGTATACATGTACAGGATGTATTGTACAAACACACACACGCTCATATACTATTAGTACATGTGATACTTTATCAATGATCATGGCATTATTTATTGTACCAGGAATTAACCTTTGACCAATATCTTGGACGTACAGTATGTACCTATATGGTATAGTATATTTTAAATACTTCTGTTCATTTCTTGGATAACAAGTTCTGTTAGATGTACATGTACAATGTACATGAATTAAAGTGGTCCTAGGGCTACCAAGCTCCAGTCTAAATGAAATATAAGGGGGAAAGGGTAGTAAGATACCATCTCCAAAAGAGAAAAGGGTCAAAAGAAGCAGAAGATAAAAGGTTAAAAAGAAAAAGAAGATAAAGGGTTTTGAAAAAAGCAAAAGAGAGGTGATTAAAAAGAAGGAAGACAGGAGAAACAGAGATTTGGTAAATAAAAAATGAAGAATTAAGAGATGTACATGTCCACGTATTAGGAGCAGTAAATACTAAACAGTATACATCTCCATAACAAACAAAGAAGAGAGAATGAAAGAAAAGAAAGAGAAGTACATGTATCAGCAAAGAAAGGTGAAAGGAAGGGGGGGGGGGGTCAAGGAACAGACCAACAAATAAAGTCTTTAAGGAAAAGGTAAAAGAGTAACAAATATTGATGTGACAAAAATTGATTAAAGCAGGAGAAGCATTATAAAATGGAGTGGAAGAGACTCAAGGGAGTGGAAGAGACTCAAGGGAGTAAAACTATAAGAGTAAATGAAAAGAGAAAGCAGTAATAAGACCAACAAAAGACTGGCCAAGAAGAGAGTGCCAATGTTGATCATTCGCCTGTGCACCTCGACGAGCCTAATATTAAAACTTGTACTCCATATTTTGAACATGACAATAAAAATAATCCAAACAATCTAAAATGTATATCCTTAAATGCAAGAAGTGTTGTGAATAAGATCGACGAAATAAGAACAATTATTGAACATGATAAACCTGATGTTTTTTGTATTACGGAGACTCATTTATGTCCGGAAATTTTATCTTCTGAGATATTTCCCCAAAATTTTAAGGTAGTACGAAAAGATAGGAATAGACATGGTGGAGGAATTCTTATAGCATCTATATAAGTAATAAGCTAAGGCTCCGCGGGGGGCGCGACGTCTCCGCGAGCCTTTGTATTCTATTGTTTTTTAATGAGATCGCCGACCCAAGTTGGTGCAGCTATCTCCTCCTGAACCCTCCCCTCGGGGCACCCGTGCCCGGTGCCATCGTCCGCGGGAGAGTCTACTCTGTGGAATTGGCTATACTCCGCCCGAGGTCCTCCTCCGTGTCGACGTCCAGGGCGAAAACAGACGCGATATGCATAATGCAGGATATGCGTGACGACAGAGATACCTCATGGATATTCAACATTACATCCGTAGACACACGACCGATGACTATCCACTCACATTAAGTTGCGTATTAAATGCACGATGCACAGGGTCGGGATTACCCGAGTAAAGCATCTTTCTATAGGATATCCTTTGTAGTAGCGCTGCACAAGCCAGAGAGATGCCATGATACACGGGGCTTCCCGTCGACGTCCAAACTTAGAGACCTATTTCCATCATGATTGCCGCGATTTGTATATAGTTTTCGTGAATGGAGGTATGAAATCAAAGCTTATTTTGTGATTATTTTGGCCATGCTTACTGAATTTTGATCATCATTTTCTAAAGGAAAGTTTTCACAAGAAAACCATTGGACTGACAGTTCAGTCGCAAGCTGCCTTCAGTCTACACACACATACATACAGTACACACAGTGCTGCTGCGCTGTGTCGGCCGTGGGTAGCGTACGAAGGTGCGAAGTAACGCTAGGCTAGCGGCCTCATGAATAAACATGAGTACTTTGGCTGAGTGAGGTAGAGTCGAAGAGTATGGGGGGCCAAGCAGGCCAATAATCGTACAACTATACAATTACACATACGTACGTCTATCCATCCATCGAAGAACCCGTCAACACAACAGCGTGCGGGCCGAAGTGCCATAATTTTGTACACCTATACAGCTATACAACTATACGACTCTCAGCTATACAACTATACGACTCTACGTCTACTCAGCCATCGGAGACTAATATTGTCTTATATCTACAGTAAATTAAAAGAAAATTTAAACAAGGTTATGAATTGTACATTTACATATTAATAGTTCAATATCAACCAGACAGATGTATGTGACTTCATGCATTGCAAAACAGTCAGTTGCGTAATGAGTAAAATCGTTTGAGTGGGAGGGGGGGGGGGGGGGAGGGGGAGTGCTGGAAAAAAATCTGCATCACCTTGCACCATTCTTACATGTTACATGCAGATTTTTTTCA